TGTGTGTGTGTGTGTGTGTGTGTGTGTGTGTGTGTGTGTGTGTGTGTGTGTGTGTTTTTTATATATATATATATGATATATATATGATATATTTAACGTATTCATCTTAATAAATTAGTTTTATAATATCGCAATTAATCGCTTCTTACTGCTAAGGGCCAAACCGTTTGCTAATAGATAAAACGTCCTCAATTAATCATTAGCAACAATAATTGTTAAACCACACTATTGCGTGATATTACGCGGCCAACATCATCTCGTGCCCGGAGCACTTGGTGTGAGACTTGCAATGATCGTCGAATTAGAATTCCATTGAATGGGTTTTGTGAAAAGTCCATTAATCCGATAACTTCAACTGCGCGTTTGTTTCGGTACTCCCGAAGCAAACGCGCGACGAACCAGTTCCGGTCGTTTGCGTTCAATTAAATCGGCGACCAGAATATGTTATCCATCGTTAGATTTTCACATAAAGAGAATGATTTTATTCAAGTATCTAAAAATTTATTACATATAATTACATATATTACATAAAATAGATCCGAAAATTTTTAGATATTTTAAAAAATCCATTCTTTTCGTGTATATCCTCGGGATTCTGAGACCTCTCACCATGTCGAAATTGTTTCCGTGAAGAAAATGTCTTATCTGAAAAATGTAATATACTATTAGCTATATTACTATGCAATTATTAATTAATTTTTAAAAATAAATATCAAACACACGTCAATTTGTCATTTGTATTGCAAAATATATAAATAAATTCAGAACAGATTAAAGGGTTGAATATCTCTTATTATGATGTCTATAAGATATATAATGATTAGGGTCAATCAAATGGACTGGAGATTAACAAAAAAGAAATATTTTTTTTATTATCGACAAACAATTCCAAAGTTACGCTTAATTTTATTAGGAAACTTTTAATATTCTAAAAATAAATACTATCAGAATATACACAATTATATATGATACATATAATTGTATATATTATATGATATATATATATATATATATATATATATATATATATATATAT